TCTTTGGTGCTTCCTTGGAGAGTGTGCTATGGTCACTATGGCAAGGTTGTCCGTGAAGGTAAGTCTTAAGTCTCTGGGTCAAGCTGAAGACACAGCTGGTTCTCCTCCACACCTGGGAAAAATACTGAGTTGCAATAAACAATTTAAAACTGCTGCAGCAGATAAAACTTCCACGAGTAAGTACAAAAGCAACTGATCTGCTGATCTTTCCTTCCTTGTGTTGTCTTGTTCCTGCTAATGTTTCAGTCTCTCGTTTCTGTTTGCCATGGAAAGACAGAGATAGGAAACACCGGTTGTTGGGCCAGCCTGGGTGTATGATTTTTTTTTTTTTTTCTCATTTCGCATGTGGGGAATGTCAAATGCCACTTAAAATATTGAAATATTGGGTCATCAGTTCTTGGACATGCAGAGGCAGTGGAGAATTTTGAATTACACCAAAAGCAGAAGCAAAGCATATGTTTTGGAAAGTGCATTTTCTCACCCAAGGAAAACCAGGTAGAACCTAGGTAGATCCTTCACTTGGTTACAAACAAGAAGGTGAAGGGGAAAAAGAACGTGAGTTCTTTGGGGCTTGTCTGCTATCTGCACTGAAGTCCTGGGATTTCAGGAGGAAGTCCAGGGCTATGGGCCAGGATTGAGATGCTGAGTCAGGCCACAATATGCAGTGAAAGGTAGGTGTTTGCTTTGCAATGCTTCAGGTTGGAAGCTACAGTTTACCCGTGGCAAAACACATCTTTACTCCATCTTGTCAGGAGCATAGTGGCTGGAAGCAACCAGCAGAACTTGAGAAGATGTTCAGAGTCTCCACTCCAACCTTTTCCTCTGTGGTTACTGAAGCTCTCCTTGAATAGTGCCATCTTCAGCACTTTAAAAGTCTTCCTCTCATATTAGATGAGTGGCTAGGAAGATGGTGACTGCTGCAAGCTCCTCACCTCCTCCTCTGACAGCCAACAAAGGCACTCTGGCAGAATGTGTGACCTGCATTATTGAGGTCCCCATACAAAGTCCACCGAAGCTCTTTGAGCTTACACTTTTCCTAATGTGTAGTAGGGGAAAAGGAAGATGAGGTCAATGCATATGGGGGGATGAGGCCATCCAACAGCTTTCCAGCTGGCCAAGGTGAGAGTCATTTGAGTTCACTTGTCTGCAGTTTGACATGTGAGTTCACAGTAAATTAATTCATATGGATTGGGATTCTACTAATAAGGACTATAAAATTCTAGCTCATCTTTCCCTTGAAATGTGAAATTAGTTTGAAGATTTATTGCCAAGGAACAACATTTTTCTCCTTCAAGCAAGGGTGAGCTTTTATTTCAAAGAAGTATTGATTCCTATCACAGGCACCTGTTTCCAGCTCTTCAGCAGGTAAAACTCTTCTCTCCATGAGGGAACAAGGTTTCTTTATCTCTAAAACCCCTGGTCATGTATGTTGTTTTCAGATTGTCACCCTCAGGAACCGGATTGATCAGGCTCAGAAACAGTAAGTACCCGTATCCCCTCCTAGCTCCTGGCTGGGGATATCTTCTCAGTGTTCAAAGTATTCACTTCAGCCTCAACACCAACATTTTCTTGCTGCAATGAAATGAGGCTAAAGATAGAAGGGTAACTCCCATCCTGCCTCATGTTGAGAAAATGAAGGGGAAAATGAAGTGAACATAACAGCTAGTAAAGAAAAATTGTGTTTCTTCACACCATGTCTGCAAAATCTCCATCTTCTAATTGCTGGGGTTTTCAAACACCTGACTGAGGTGCTTTGAAAACACAAGGGGAGACAACCCTTGCTTATGAAGGGTAAACAAGTGGTTGCTGCGAATGGTGTGTAACAAGACTAACATCATGTTGTGAGTTCTTTTCACTCATCTCTCTTCTCTCACTTTCCCTCTCCATATGACTTCTATTTAATTAGATTTTTTCTGAGTCTTATATCTTTAACTATTCTACATCTTTGCAGTGAACTTGGGTGGTGTCATGGTTTGTCTGGGTGTTGCTGCTCTTTTGAGGGGCACTGCCACACCACCCACAACAAGCTGTACCGTTAATGCATATTTGTTCCCTCAAAAGACACGGCACAGTCTTAGTGCAATAGGAGAACATTTGAAAAGGTTGCACTGGAAAGCCCGCAGCTCATGAGATTTCTGCATATTTGCATTTCTATCCAAAACAGACTGTAGCATTCCAAAGCAATGTCTGCTGACGTGTTATAGAAGGATCAAGTGATCCTTTTGCTTCACACTGTTATTAAGTCTCCTTAAGCACATTCTAAAGGTTAGGCATAACATCAAACATCACAGGCGTTTGTGGAGATAAAAGGACTCTGCCTTCGTTTGAGGAGCTATACAGTTCCTCTACTGGATTTTGAACCTGTGGAAAGTCTGCCAAAAAGGGACACTGAGATGAATTTTAGATAAGCAGAAAACATTCGACCATCTCTAATGCAAAGGGTCAATTTTTCAAATAGATCAAGTCTAACTTGGTCAAAAGGTAAAGTATCCACTATGTGTACGTCTGTGTCACTGTGTTACATCCTCACATAAACATGGCTAGAGCTCTTGAACAAATGGAGCAGCACTACAAAAACCTCCCCAGATGTGTCTTCCCCATCTTTCTCTGCTCTCTGGAGGAATCAGTGGTTCCAAAGCAGGCCTCCTTGTCGATGGCAAGGCCCCAACATGTCGTGCCTGTCCCCGCAACCCCATGCACTTCCGTGTCAAAGATGTGCCCCCAGTTTGCATGTGCTTTTGTTCAAGAAGCAGCCTCTTCATCCTACATGTGAGATGCAAGGGTTTGGTGGTGTGCTGTGCCAAGGTTTTACCTATGGGAGCCAGTTCAGAATCTAACCCGACTAACTTCACGCCTGGCCCCTCTCTGGCTCCAGGCGTGCCAGTTTCTCAGACAGAAGGTAAGTGGCTTGCATGCAGGATTGCCCTTCTGTGTGCAAGAAGATACTGTTTGGAGAGAGTTTGCTTTGCGTGGGAACTGTAGCTGGTCTGCTCCCACACACACTATAAGCAAGATAGGAATATTGATGTGAGGTGTGACCTAAAGTCCGCATAGTTTTGGAGACTCTTGCTCTCATGACACAAGGAAGTAGTCACTCTGGCTGTGTTAGAGCAAAGCAATTCTTAGTTGTGTATAAATTACTGTTCAGTGTTTTGTCTCCACTTCCATTTTTTTTAACTAGGGCATCTGGGGGATTTGACTAAAGCTCTCTGATGAGGAGGAAGTTTTCTCCAGAAACAGAACTAAATCCTAAAATCCAGATGAGAGCAAATTTGAATTCAGGAAATATTAAATCTGTGCTTGGATAGGCTTGTCACTTAGGTTTGGGATCACACAGATTTGTGTCCTGTTAATGCAGGAATCTGGAAGGGTCCACCTTTCAGGAATGCACATCCTAGTCTTTCGCTGAGAGCCTGAGGTGGAACTTCTTTCCACAACATCTGCAATGTTTTTCTCAGGATGTGCTCTATAATGGATATGCCCAACATGTGAAAGAAGGAAGAAGCTTGACGCTAAGATGAGAGTCAGAAATTAGTAGTGGTCACCATGGACCAATTCTTTCACACTGACATGTTTTTCTTTCATTTTGTATTGTAGCAGCAAGAAGGCAGGAGCCAAGGGGAAGGTCGGTGGGCGCTGGAAGTAAAGAACCAGGCAGGATGGCCCTTAGTGACATGCTGAAACGCTGCTGGTCTCCTCTTTCTTCCTTCACAAACCACTTGTGTTCCCATGCCTCAGCGATAACAAAAATTGCAACATCAGCCTGGGTTGGCTATTGCTGCTGCTTTTCTTCCTTTTCTTCCTGGAGGGGTCTGGTGGCTTCCTCAGCCAAAAGGAAGCAAGTTCCCTGTGGAACTGAGGTGACTCCTTGCTGGCATCTTCAATTCCTGCTGAGCATGTCCTTTACCCTCCTGATACCAGCCCTATGCTGTCCTGTAGATTGCTGTGTACAAATCTCTGGATTTTGTAAATAAAGCGCAACCAGTACCTACTTCAATGACAGCTTTCTGGAATGGTGTTTTCATTTTATTTATTTTTTAAATGGCATTTGGGAGTTGGACCTTAGCTATCCTTATTTAATATTTAATCCAGCCCTGCAAGTGGAAATGGGGTTTGGCATCATTAACAAAAAACAGGACTGGAGGCCAGTTTTACGGGTCCCATACAGGCAAATAAGGAAAGCCAACTCTGTTCTGGAGGAGCTCTTATCTGTGGGACAGTCTGGATGCCAAAAGTGCTTGAAACAAACTTAAAAGTCTGAGTGTAAGCTTGAAACAAACTTAAAAGTTCTGAGGAATCAAAGAACTGGGTGTAAAGGAATGAATCCACAGGCGCCACAGTTTTCAGTATGCAACATTTCTTAAAAGCAGATGTCACAGCACAACACAGATCACTGTTAATTCAAATATTACACTAAAATGTTTATTGAAACACTTAACCTACATATAGTATTAAAATCCAATAGTGAAGCCTGAATTACTCGGTTATTTTGATGTAGATGTCAAATGGGTCCATGGACACGAAATGGCTGCCACCAAACTCAGGCCGTGGGCTCTTGGTTGCATGGGGCCTGCTGTTCACTTTGCTGACCTTAGAAGCTCCTGGTTGGAAAGAAGCCTACTGCAGGCTTCCCATCAGGCTTCCTACCAAACTTCTGGCCTTTCCTGGTGCCAGTTTACACACTCTGGTTCACCAGTCAATGAGGAAAAGACAATCCTGGTGGCGTCCCACCCCACGGCGTGAAGTCAAGGTGGCAGGACGGCAGTCAGGCACTCAGAGATGGCTTCCACAGCTCTTCCAGAGCTGCCACCCTGTGCCCCCGATACGTCCTGTCCCTTGCACCCCTGGCTTGTCTTTGGGGCTGCGCTTCACGAACTCCCTCAGCGACGCCATTTCGCAGCCACGTTTCCCCACCCCTGCCCCATGCCTAGCGCACCCCAAGCACCGCATCCCCTCTGTGGCGAGGGCGAGACCCCGCTGCCTCCTCCAAGGGCGAATGAGGTGGTGACCACCACCCAAAAAAAATCAAAAACACACAAAAAACACCCTCGTCACCCCTCCGCTCCAGCAGAGGGCGAGAGCGGGAGCCCCTCCATGGCGGCGGCGCTTCCGGGCCGTGCCGCGGCCATGGCGGCGGGCGGCAGGCGGGCTGTGTGAGCGGGGCAGGGCGGTCGGGGAGGGCCGGGGCTGGGGCTCGGTGCCGCCGGCCGGTGTTTTACGGGCGTCCTCTCCTCGCAGGTACCCGCTGTTCCAGCTGGGCGGCCCCCAGCTGCGGATCTTCCGCCCCAACTTCTTCATGCTGGCGGTGCGGCCCGGCGTGCCGCAGCCCGAGGACACGGTGCAGTTCCGCGTCTCCATGGAGTGAGTGCACGGGGAGGGCGGCCGCGGGGTGCCCAGGGGTCCCCGCCGCTTCTGGAGCATCCCCCTGCGCCCAAAGCACCCCCCCCCCCCGAGGCTGAAGGAAGGGTTTTGTGCACCAGGGAGGGCTTTCAGGGCGCTGGGCTAAGCAGGAGCTGTGCTTGGTTCCTCTCGGGGTGCTGGGAGGCTCTGGCTGCCCCGAGGTGGGGTGAGGAGGAAGGGAGAGGTGGTGGAGGTGTCCATGAGGAGAAGAGGTGGTGTCCAGGTGCTAGTTTTGCAGGACTCCTTCGTCCTGGCTGTTCTGCTTCTACACGTAAAGGCCCACATGGCTGCAGCAGGCCCCAAGAACATTGGAAGTCACGTTCAGAAGCTTAGAAAGGACTCTCAGCGCGGGCAGTCAGAAAGCCCACCCTGGCTCCCAGTACAGCAGGTATCTCGTGTTTTGACTGCTGAGGTGCCAGAGAATAAAATATTCAGCATTATTTCAATTTATGGGCTATGAATTGCTGTAACAGTGAATGTTCCATGTTGGGTTTATACATCAGTGCAGTGAAGCTACCTTGGTTGAAAGGGGAAGACATATTTATTCCAGACTACTAACCTGCCTTTAAATACTGTGGCTCTGTTCCGAATTTAGTTAAATATTTCTACTTTTCCTTCTTTCTTTCTCCATAATTTTTTTTTTGTTGCCTAGAATGACAAAAGTGGATATCAAGAATTACCTTGAAAAAATATATAATGTGCCAGTAGCTGCTGTGAGGACCAGAATACAGTATGGTAAGTGCAGTTGAGTAATTCAGAGGGATAAATGCAGTTTACCTTTTCAGCCAGAAGAGGCTTTTCATGTCAAAAGTTCTAGTAGCCTTCTACAAACTATGTTGCTGGTGGCAACTTCCAGCTCAGTTCTTTTTATTATTGTTACTTAAAACAAATATGTACCACTTCATATGTAGTGCTTCATATTTGAATACTTTTATTAGGTTACAACATAAGTTTATTTTTAAAAATAAAAAAATGAATTTAAAAAGTCTTAAAATCTTGACCTGTATCTAACCCATGCCAAATACCTTTGTAGTTGCTACCATTTCTCCTTGAAGACCAGTGGATGTCACACTTCAAAAGGAACTACTTCATGTATTTTAATAAAATTAGCAATTAAACTTATTTTTTAAGTCTAGGAAATAAGTTAAGATTACCTAGCATGCACAGAGAGGAGGTGTTACGGTCTAACTAAAGTCGAAATATGTAGAGAGAAAAAAGTATTCAATTAGACAAGTACAAAATATCAGAAACGCATCTTTACAAACTTTTGGTTTTTCATAACCTGTAGGTACCACATTTCTACTACAGACTCATATGCTTCCACTTAACTGTATTTCTTCCTTGTACTACCATTGCTCAAAAAACCTCATCACCACCACAAAGAACCATTAAAAAGTCATTCTTAATTGAAATTATGTTGAACTCAGACTTGGAACAGAGGGACCCATCTCTGATTGAACTAGGCTAGAATTCTACAAAGTCACATTTATGTGTGAATGCTTCCCTTCCCAGAGTTTCTCTGACTGTATTTTGGATGTAGTGCAAAGTCAGGAATGTATTTTTACGTCATGTATGTTTTTGATCACCAGGCAGTGCATTAATCAAATGGAGAGTGACTTGTTTGTTGGGACATCTTTGGTTGGATTCCTCTTTTTCATGCATTAATTCTAGCAAAGGAATTGATCGATGTGTTTATAATGGTGAGAGTAGGGACAAATTCAAAAGGGCATAAGAAAAAAGCTGTCATAGTGAAAAATGGAGAATGAAAGAAAAAGCTTCAAGAGAAGGTTGTAAAAGTCAGAGCATCTAAAATAAGGAAAACATCATCTGCAATGTGTCTATGTAAAAATAAAATTAAATGAAATCCTAAGAGCAAACATGTTATTTCAAACAGCACTGAAAAATGACTGCTTTTGTCCATAAAACTGTCCAGTCCCTCAGTACTTAATGGAAGTGGTGGTAGAATGTCAGGAATAAAAGAGGAAAGGGGCTTAGAACGTCTCATAATTCAACAGCTTTAATGTTTGCCTAACATGCAAGGAGTAAATTGAACTTCCCACTCAGCTGTGCTCAGCATACTTTCAGGAAGTGAAGGTGCTTTGATTTTTTGGGGTATAGAGTGTAATTTTCTGATGTGTAACGTGTAGAGCCTGCTCATTAGCCGGGTAGTAAAAATTGACAAGTTTGAAGCTGCTTCATGGTCATTCCCTGCTTGTCTTTCTGAAGCAGTTAATGTTAGCAGGACAGTTTATTTCTCCCGCCCCCCTACTCAGAAGACTTGCCTCCTTGCTTCTTGCAAAATTTGTGACTGGGAAGGCACAACAGCTGTCAGCAACCCACGTCTGGTGATGCCTCCTCTCCTTACATGTCAGCAGTTTACCAACTTCAGTACGTTTTAGTAATTTTGATACTGCTGTGTGGTATCTATGTTGGTACTGAAGAAGTAACCATCTTAATAAATCAAAACTGGTGCCCCCCCCCCCCCACCTTGGCCTTGCTTTGGGGTACTTGGAATTCCTGTAAAGTTAAAAACGGGACTGTTCATTTCTGCAGGTGCGAACAACAAGAGGAACCACAAGAATCAGAGAGTGAAGACGCCAGATTACAAGGTTGCCTATGTACAACTGGTGAGTTAATATGGATGCTTGCAGGAAAAGAAGGGGCTCTTTTGTCAGCCAAGCTACAAGTAATGCTTGGTGAATTGTCCAATTAGCTGACTGTTTCTTCCACTCCTCTAATGAAGGCATTTTCTTTAATATGTTCCAGAACATATAAAGGCATTCACTAATTTAAATGACTTAGTTTGAAAAACAAATTTAAACAAACTGTTTATTTTCTAGTACCATTTGTGTCCAAGGCCTGTATGTAAGTTAGGGCCTGGTGTCATATGCCGCTGCTTTGTCAGCGACTTTCATGCTGACCCTGTACTCTCTGTGCTGGAAGGTTCATGGCTTGTGTGGTTGATTGCTGGAATGTCCAGTAAGTGAAAGAATATATTGTAAAGATGGGGAACTTTTTATTAAAGCTCTTTGGATCTCCAAGAAGACTTAAGGCGTATTCCCTGGAGAGCTTTTAGTCATGTCTAACAAGTGTGCTTTGTGGCTAAACTGGGTTCTGAAATGTATATTGGTTGCCCAGTGGAAAAGGTGCTTCATGTTCTTACAAGTTTTTCATAACAGGGGCACATTATAGTTCTGTCTTCTCTTGGGCTTACCTGTCTACAAGTAAGAAAGAAATGCCACCAGTGATAGAAAAGCCCTTCACGTACCAAAATTACTTTAAAGGAATGCTATTTATGGTTGTAAAACCAAAAGTTCAAAGTTGCTGTTGGCAACACAAACTCAATATTACTCTGTCCTGGGACAAGGAGTCAGTGTGGGGGAACATTGCGTGATCTTATAGCATAAAGATTGTGTAAGAATTTGTAAGGACTTGGGGTCAAATTAAAGATGCGTAGATTGGGAGATCTGATTTTTTTTTTTTTTTTTAATTTTTGATTTTAAATGAGCTTAGAAAAATTTTCTCTAAGCCCTTTCTAGGGAAGGGAGTGGAAAGAAAAATGAGGACTCTGTTTTTGTAGACAACCCTTATCTTTAAAAGAACAGTATAAAATACAGTGTTAATAGGAAGTAACGGTTTTATATTTAGATGAGGACTAAGCTTGATTCACTGTGCTGAAGTTAAAGCTGGTGTCATCTTCACCAGGATTTACGCTATGATAGTAAAATTCACATGCCTTTTTCAAGGAACAGGCCCTGTTTCGGTAGACAAATTCTCCCTATAGCCTAAAGGCTATTACCTGTGCAGGGATTTTGTCTGTGAAAGTTCAGGTATGACTGATTTATTAAGAACACAGCTGAAGAATTGAATGTCAGGAGTGATTTTGTATTGTACAAGTTGCTTTCTCTGTGTATTATTCCTTAGTAGGTAATTGCAGGCACTTTACATTGCCATAGCCTCTTGCTGGTGATGGCATTGCTTTTGGAGGCTTGTTCCCCAAGATTGAAGCAGACATGCATCTCTACTGAACCTTGGTCAGTTCTCAACTTCTATTTTCCTACATTTAATGCAGTCTTGTTTCTGTGTCTGCTGAGTTGTGAAGGGAAGCAGTCCGCAACCCACGGTTAAATTCAGTGGAAAGCCAAATGCTGCTACTCTATGGAGGAAGCCACTCATTTAAGGCAGTGCCTTTGAATGTTTATTTCAGATCAAGCTTCTGAACCTAGAATAGTTGCCATCACCTTGTGGGTAACTGCAGTGGAATGGAGAATGCACAAAGCCCTGTGGTACTGTGGCTGAAAAGTGTTTCTGGTACCTGAGAGAGCAGGTGTCTTTTACTGTGTTGTCCTATCCAATGACATCATCCTCAGTTTTTAAAGAATGCCACGTTTTCATCTCTCCCATGAATTAGGTTAGGGGACTGCATTTTAGTTTTTGTTGTACAGCATCCGAAGTGAGGGAATTCTGACCATTTATCTAGATTTCATCAGTGCAACTTGGTCTGCCTGTTTTCTTTTCACATTGTCCTGTCCTCTTTGCTCTCTTTTCTCTTACTGTTGCTGTCTGTGAGCTCTAACATTTAGGTTTGTCTTTTTTTTTTTCCCCTCTTTTGTTCTTTGCTTTTCTTTGGTAGTTCTGGTGTCTCAGACAATGAGCTCCCAGTTCTGTGTTCACACCAGCTTTGAACAGTGAGTGAGGCCAGAAACCCAGTGTCATTTCTGAAACTGAAGGTTTTCCCTTCATTCATGGTGTGATTCAGGCCAAAACAGGCCCCATGCAGTCCATTGTTAATATCTGCCTAATTTAGGAAAGTTTGGTAACCACTGTAAAACCCATTTTTTCATTAGAATTATTTTGCATCTGCCGTGAGTCAGAGTAGCAGGGCTTTCCCACCATTTTTACCAGCTGTGTTTTCCCTCATTAATCCAGTTTCAAGTTAAAACTGCTTATGACTGGAAAAATAAGTATGTGTTTTTGGAAGGTTTTGGGTTGATCTTCCTGTTGCCCACTAGGTGGAAGTATTGCTCTTCCCAGTGTGACTTGGAAGCAGTCCTGGTGTGGTTTACCTGAATGAAATTGAGTATATTTCTTATGACTAGTTATGCTTGCCTGCTTCATAAAACATCATCATATGTGTCCCAGCACAACATACATATCTATTAACTAACCACAAGTGTCTCAAAGGTGGAGGGTACATGAAGTCATAGCCGATACACCCTTAGGTGTCAGATTAGTGCCTCAGCTGCTCCATATGTAAGAATTGTTGTCCTTTCCTTTCCAAATACTATTTCTTGGAGATTCAGAGCTGTTTACTTTATTCTCAGGCTGTAACTGGACAAATACATGACCGGTCCAAGCATAATATTTTCACACTAAAAAAATACCTCAAATCATGGAAGGCTGTGGATCAACAATATCTTGCCATTCCAGAGCCTGCCTGACTTTTTTCCCCTTCTGGAATGTGGTGAGAAAGGTTTAAGTTTAAGGCTTATCAAATGCTACTTTTTAATGCTATTTGATTTTTTAATTAAAAGTATGTATCTTTTCCAAGTAGCTAAAATGAAAGTAAGTAAGCAGCCTTTCTCTTTACTCGAATAGAATTGTAATTATCCTAATATTACTAAAAGGAAAAAAAAAAAAAGCCAGTGGGAAACTTTACAGTTGCATCAACATCAGGAAAATTAAAAAAAACAACATCCCCTCCTCCTCCTTCACTGTTCTCACTCTGTAGCTCAACAGGTGTTAGCACCCGTGGGAGCTCAACTGTAGACAAGCCTCTGGAATCCAGACCTATTTTTAATTAAACCTGTTTTGAGAAATCTAATGGAGATGGCTGTAAAAAGGAGTCTGACCTTGTCAACATTAGGACTAACACCTATTTAGCTGCATGAATGATGGCACCGGTGGGAACATTTTTGCAAATGTTTTCTCCTCAAACCCTGCCTAGTGTGTCCTGTATGTTCATATTAATTAACCCATTTGCACATCAGATGTGACAGCAGTTTTCATTTGACATGTAATGAATTCAGAGGAAACTTGGATGCCCTGTGTGCTGTGTCATTCCTGCGTGGGTTCTGCAGTTGCTTTCAGTGTTGTTCTGCCATACGTTTTAACATCAGATGTTACCAAGTGCAATAGGAGGAGAATTGTTGAAATGCACTGGATTATTAAACTGAGCTGCATTTGCTGCTACTGCTGGACTGAATCCCGTGCTGTTGGGAGTCCAACATTTTTTTAGTTAACGATACTATAAACATCACTTTTCTCCTAATTCTGAAGGACAGTAGTAAGTGCTTCAATTATCTAAATAATCAGAAGACCTCACAGTTGTTTACATGATCAGTGTTTGCTGCGTCATTCCTACACAATAATATCTGTGCTGACCTTCCATTCCTAAACTTTTCAGAGGACGCAAAGGTCAGAAAGTACAAGTGAGTTTGTGCTGGATAATCCTCCTAGCAATTTTCTGACATGAGGCTCAGCAGTGGAAAGGCTAACACTTGACTTCATAGGCCTAATTGTGGTCACTTAACCTCCCATTAAAATGAATGGAGGCAATTTGTACCTACTTCATGTTGTAACTCCTTCTGCAAACTCAGAGAAACAAGGTGTGTTTTCAACCTTTATAACCAAAAAGACTTGACATCTAAGATGAAAATATGTTTGGTGCTTAGGTCTCTTGTTATCTTGAAGGATTTTAGTATTTAATAAAGGAATCCTCTTAAGACCATGTATATAAATCAGTTTTACATTTGGGTACGGCTGAAACGAGGATTAGATTTGTGCAGGAGTAGAAGTTTAATGGCTCCCATTTCTGCAATCTAAACACTGGACCACACATCTCACTTATACATAACCTTAGAATTTGTAGAAAGAAGGGAGGTCTCTGGGAAAGCCCTAAATTTAGAATACCAACATGTAAAATCATCACAATGACTTTATTTTTAGGTGCTTTAATAATGCTTCTATGACTTCATTGCTCCATTTATTTATTTATCTTTCTTTGTCTAACATTATAAGAGCTCATTTAGATATTAGAGGATGTGGAGGGAGAGCTTATCCTGACAGACTCCAGAGGTATCACCTCATGTTGCTGTACTGCTGGTAAAACAATTTTTTCACCATTCAATTCCAAGACAGACTAAATTATCTGAGTAAAATAGCTTTTTTTTTTTTTTTTTTTTTTCTCCCAGTGTTTGTCTTTTTTACGGTGCTTTCTTTTAGCACAACTGTCAGAAAGGAGGCTGCTCTCATCTCCACTTTTCTCTGTGCTTCTGACTAAGGTAACTGTGCTGGCAGAAGTTCTAAACAAAGACCTAATCCTAGCTTTTTCAGAGGCCATTTCAGTTTATGAATTTCAATAAATCAGTGATGAAAGGGGAGACTGGTTAAACAGCTTGCAAAAGGTAAAACATTGAATAAATGTAAGGGTTAGGAATAAGAATGCAAAATTTTGCTTCCTAGTTAAATATGCCAGTAGTTCATGCTCTAGCAGTTTGGAAACCAAGTAAAACACCCACACTGATGAACGAAGTAGAAATTCAGTTGTTTGCTTTATTTTGGTTAGGATTTCATTTGAAGGAGGCATTTAACTTAGCTGGCAGATGGTTGCTGTCGGGAAGGGAAAACTTACAAAGAAAAAAGTCTACTTTAAGCAGGACTGCATAAGGGAGTGATATCCCCCTATTCCTTTGGTAGGCATTGTTTTGAGAAGGTGGCATATGAGCTAAACAACTGGTAGCCTCTGGCATCATGCTGAAGATGCACCGAATGTAAATATGCCTGGATAGACTCTCAGCCTTTTATGTAAGTCGATGCCTTTTGGTATTTTTGAAATTTTGAAATACCCAAGATGAAAACTAGCTACTGAGCATGCACAACAGCTATTTTTCATACAGCTTTCATCACTCCAGAGTCTTACAGTGCAGTGTTACTGCATAGTATTGTTACTTAAGATTTATCAACCTTCAGTTCTCAGGGTGTAATGTCTTGGCTGTTTTGAATCGTGTCTGGCTGCCAGCCAAAATCAGAATTTCTTCACAAAACAAGAGCTGGAAAGAGCCAACTTGTCTGTACTGATTTTGATTTATTAAAAGACTCCAGATACAGATTGACATTTTCAGCTCAATATTTGACTTTCACCAGCCTTGAAATGGGAACTGTGAGCACTTTGATAAACAGCTGAAAGGTTTGTCTGGTTTCACTATAGTTTCTGTGCATATCCTTTTTATTTTTTTTCCTCTTTTAAAAATAATAACTGTTTTGCAATGCTTAGTGAATTAACCATGAACGTTGTTAGTATGCTTTAGGGACAGCTTTCCTTCACTCTCCAATAAGAGCAGTGCTTTGGTGCTGGAAGCATACCAGAATGGAAGTGCTGCATAACAAGAACAGCCCCTTACTACACTGTTACCAACATAAATAGTTCTCAGATTTTCAGTGTAGGTGGTATGCCTACCATGTTAGCCTGAATTGTTTTCCAACGTGTTTCACTAAAATGGCTTCCTCTCCAGGATGGATGAGTCCTTAGAATCGGCCTCCTCTGTCCTATGGGTGCCACAGGGCTGAGCATCCTGCCTGCAGTGCAATTAAAATGCAGTAATTTTTTGTAACGTAAACAAATTCTTTTCCAAATGCTTGAGTGTGCCAAACTCTTGGGCAGCCCTTTGCCTCAAGGGTGCTTGCTGCTGATCCTACTACAGGAAGAGCATCAGTAGGCTACGGCTTTGGGATTGTTCAAGGCCATTGATAAGGCCTATTGCTGTGCCTCAAAATGGAGCTATGCTTCACTTGTCATAGGACAGCTATTATAAGCGTACCTGGTGGTAGTTTACAGGTACAAAAGAGTTGAAACCCCCAAGTGTACGGTATGGAAAGGAAAACCATGATTTGTTCCACTTGATCTTATCCAGGCTAGAATCTAGGAAAGCGCAATGTACACAGCAGCTCCCTTGTTGTTTTTGTAGTATGGTCAGGCTCTTAGGAAACCCCCAAGAAGTATGCACTACAAAAACAACCGGAGCATTGCTGGGTATGAGTTGATATTTCCTAGATTCTAGTCTGGATAAGCTCAACTGGGATAAGTCATGGTTTTTCTTTCCAAAGTGTATGCTTGAGGTTTAAATTCTTTCACACCTGTAAATGACCCTGTTGAGTGTATATGGCTAAATGGAACATAGCACACATTCAGCTGGGTTAGGGACATGGTGGCAGGGTTTTTTTTTTTAATTTAATTATGTCAGATTTCTTATCTCAAAATGCAGTATAGGTAGCCGTGTTGTGGAAGGCTTATTTTATCTCTTTTGCGGAACCATTTTGTAACTGGGCCTCTGGTTCAGTTATTTTTATTGCACGAATAGAAAGAGTGGCTGACCTGAAAAAACTGTGTTCATCTGAAGCAATTGCATGCTTTTGTTGAGATTTCTATATGTAGTATTCTGCCAGAGAAGTTAATGTATGATAAGATTTGTAACTATTCCGGAGAATAATTTTAAGAGTTATGAGCTATCAGTTATGAGTTTTATTATGTGGAGTCCCATATGGAATGCAAAGGAATGGAAGGGTGATACTGTTGAGTTTAATGAAGTTGTGCTTAGTGCAAACACCACTAAAAAGTAAGTAGATAATGTTAATGGGATAGAACATTTCCACAGAATAATGGTTTCCTGCTGTTAGATAAAAACCAGAGACCAAGCAAATGTTTATTTTCCAAGTGGGAGACATAGATCTGATGATGATGTTACACTAAAATGACTTGTCTGTTAGGCAGAATGACTGATGCAGATGTAATCACTTTAATCTCATCAGTGATGTATTAGACAGATTGTTCCCACTGTAATTATTTTACACTGCAGACTTTATTCCTGTTGATAAGAGACCTCTGATATCTGTTACTTTGTATTCCCACATTACACCCCATAGTAACAGCTGCTAGGTCTGTTCTTTCTGATCCTTAGACAAGATTTAAACAGCTATAGCTGCGACTCATACCCAAAGTATTAATATAATGAATGCTTGCCCTGCCTGTATTTCCTCCGTTGGTATGACTTTAACAAAATTACTTACTTTGCTCGTCTTGCTTTTACGGTGTGGCTCCTACAACATCTCTGAGGTGGTTTAGTATCTTGAAGATGTGTCCATCTCCCGACCATTCATTCTGTAAAGAAAGATGCAAGTGTCTTAATTTGCACACAGAAGAGAAGAGGCTGAAAGTTAGCTTGTGGAGGAGGGATATATGTGTATCTTGGGGAGAGCAGTGGAAAGAGATCTTGGGAGTGCCTCTTAAGGCACCATTTTGACCATTTGTTTTCTTTTTAGGGCAAAGGACAAACCTTTCAGTTTCCCAACCTGTTTCCAGAGAAAGAACAAGACGAAGAAGCTCAATCTTTTGATGACTTCAGGAAGAAATACCTAGAGAAAGAGCAGAAGATCCAGAAGGGTGACCCCAGACGAGGTGGAGTTCCTGATTGGTTTGGACTTTGATGCCAACCAGTTTGATGAAAAAGCCAGCTGCCTTTTTGTAGGCTCAGAGGAATTTTGGTCAGCAGAACTTGAACTCTCTTCTTCTTGTAATGACCAAGGGTTTATTCTTGAGCAGCCCTTGCTAGAGTGTCTTTTTTCCTGGCTATTTATGCACGACTACAACAAAATGGCCCTAAAGAAATAAAAAGGTAAAATAAATCTGCATCAGATCTTCTCTGTGAACTTGTGGACCATTTCTGAAATGTGGAATTGCTTCTTGTTTCTGAATGAGAGTGTCACTGTGCTTACCTTGTTCCTGCTGCTACAGGTCATTTGAGTGGAAGTAGGAGGCGTTTCATTTCTCAAGTTAAGTGTGGTTGGCAGGATAAGACAGCTGGAGGTGGAGAAGAAAACTTGTAGGTTATTAGACTGTAGGCTCTGGATGTAGGGCTCCCTTATTATCAGTTATGGTGTCTTTTACTATCCTGTGCATTGCCTTTCTTCCAAAGTGACCCCCTTTCCTGGGGATGCGTATGTAGCCTGATTTTACTCCTGTGTTAATGGCCGTGTGGCATTTTGGGGCAGGTTTTATTGGATAGGCTTGTGGCTGGGCATGTGTGTGATCCCCAGAAGCTTCAGGGAATGGACAGACGCAGTGCAGTCTCTGCTGGCTGTTGTGCAATGCAGGTAGTTGCCTTCTGTGACCGCTCTGCCCCAGGAACGTTTCAGGGCACAGTTGTGCTAGTATTCCTTCCCCTGCCCACAGCTACCTTGCAGTGCTGGCAAGAGTCCTGTGTAGACACAGTTGTATTGGCATAAAAACGCTTCTGCAAGTGTAGACTGCTTTGTGCTCCGGACTAGTAAAAAGACTCTTTTTACTTCTTCTGGTGCAACTCCCTTTACTTCCAAGTTGCTGATGCCAGGGCAGTGGTAGAACTTTTCTAGGCCTTCAGGGCTGCCACGTTTAGGTTTTTTGTTTCTTGGCTCTGCAGCTGTTTTTCCTTGCTCTGATGAGGATATTTCCTCTTTGCCTTTGTCAAGGAACGTGCTCTGCCAGTGTGTCAGAAACAGTCGGGGGGGAAGGAGGGCTAGGAAGGACTTTGCTGTGGATAGAAGGAAGGATGCGTTTCTGCGGGCCATTGGCCGCAGTGCCAGCATGTGCAGGGTTAAACACCCAGCTAAAGTTTCCCTTGCTTCTGAATGCTGCCACTCAGAGCAATTGGCAGGGCAGTGAATGAGCCCTCGCCTTGCCTTGAATACTTCTACCGGGTGCTCTCCATTATTGTTCTGTGTCTGAACTTCTTGTTTGGACAGCTAGCAAGATGTTTACAAGGAAACAGCTGTTCCCCAGAGAGGCAATCCAAGTAGGATTTTACGCACCCCCTTCTGTTCATTAGTCGCCTCTTTCCCCCTGCTACTTCCCCTCTGCGCGACAGTCCATCTCCTTCTGCGGTTTGTTGCTTACAGATTCAGTGATTCTCCCACCCTCCTCTTTGTCCAGCTTCCAGGGGGGATCTGCACGATGGTCTGTGTAAGTTAGCTGGTGCTTAGAGAGATGCTCTCAGAGAGGAGGGAGATAAGGGAGGATTTGCTACTCCTAGCCTGCCAGCAGTTACAATAGTAGATGTGGAAAAATACTGAGTTCTCTGAAAACAGCCCGGGTGTTTGGCATATCTGCAAAGCCAACACTTCCAGAGTTTTGTAGCGACATGTAAAACTCCAGGTTAAATCAGGAGCTGACCTGCAGTTTTAAAGCAGGAGGACTGAACTTGTCTAGATAAAAGGGTTTCTCTCCTGCGGTACACAGTTCTCCCCGCAGCCCTCCTTCCTTTATTTGTGTTTTGGTTTTGTTTTTTAATGGGGTTGTTTTTCGAACTCTCACCTCCGTTTAGAATAATGGGGCTGGGGCTTTGCCTCTATGGTATAATATAGAGTTTGCTATTTTTTCATCACTTTCCTTTGTGGTCGCTTCCAATATAGGTAACTCCATCTTCACCATGGTGATGATAAAATGAAAAGAGTTCATCTAGTGCTGCCATGTATCTTCCTAGCTGGCTGGTCAGCCTTAAGCAAGCAAACAGTCAGGTATGTGATAGTTCTGGATGAGTGAGGCTGTGCTCCATGTGGTAGGTGTAACAGCAAGTAATATATTAACCATCAGCCTCTCTGCCTTCCCTGTTGTGGTCCTCAGGAGAGGTTGGAGTCTCCAGCTCCTGTACTAGCATTGAGAATCCAAGCTGAGAGGAGTTTATTTGCAGTACCAAATATGTGCTAGGCTGAGTGAATATCAAAAGTCACAGGGCAGGTCTACATGCTTTGCTGCTCTGAGTTCTTCATGGGTGATTAATTTTTAGCTCACGTTCAAAACAGGTTTCTGACTGGAGTGACAGAAAAGGACAGAAACAGAGAGATGAGTATACCCGTAACTATATGAAGTTGCTGCAACCCAATTCTGGCAGATATTCAAGCTACTTGAGAGAGAACTTTTGTTACCAGCTACCTCTAAGCTAGTATACCTGTGAAATTAAGGTAAGGTTTAAAAAAAGAAAATTCAAAGCCCTATTTGCTTTGATGCTCCATATTTCCATGGAAGCAGGATTATGAAGATGCCAACTCCTTCCAGTCCCTTGTTGGCCAGTATTTTAGAGGAAGTGCCAGTTCTTAATATAACATGGTGCTTCACTGGTCCTATCCCCCAGTTATACACTACCAGTTGTACAGGTAGGTTAGAAGATAATGCAAGCGGTGCTTGAATATGAAGTCAAGGTTTGTGCCACGTATCAGAGAAGCGCAGCAGATGAGTGATGAAGCGAGGAGAACAAGGGATCACGTTCTGTAGCTGCGTTGACTGAATCATGCTCGTTCCAGCACATCCCGATGTTTTGAGTGATGCAAGGGTTCGGCAGATCCTGTGAGTAGCCCTGTTTTCAGAGGTGTCGAGCTGTCCTTGGCAATGTCCACAGCCATACCTGCGGGCTGGGGGTTCACATAGACGTATGAGTAACTTCTCCAAGGACCAAAGTAATGACTTGGTTGAAGAGGCTGATGCTCGCTGTGATGCAGGAGAAGCCACGTCCTGCACTTGGCGTGCACGGCCCCGCAGCTGCTGGCTGTGGTGACGTGCAGGGGAGGTGCTGAGCGCAGTTTTGTTCCCCTCTGTACGTGTGCAACCCCCTAAGAGAGCAGTGTACTGGAACAGTCAGCGGATGCGCACTTGTCTGCGTAGGCCACTCCAGTGGAGAAAGGCACCCAGCTACGATCAGGGTTGTCTCAGCAATGCCAGTATGCTTCAGAGGGAACGTGCAGTTACTTTTTTGTTTGCTTGTATTTATTATTTTTTAAAATCAAACTGAAATGAGTTGCAAAGACAGTGACTTCATAGACTGGTTTTATTGATATTACAGTTTTGAAATGAGTTTTCCTTTGTAGCTCCTGCTCAGGTCCTGCTGATAGGTTCCTTGTGGATCATGTTAAGAATATGTGGGTGTGTACAGGTGACAAAATTCCTGTGTCTTCTAACCTCTTGTCACCTGAGCCTTACCACATGACCTCAGAGAGCACAAATTGTTTATTTTCACAGCTAACTTGAAGTAGGAAGACACATAGTGCAGCTCAGCCGGTAAGTCGCAAAGTTCCATTTTTTGTGTGTAAGCCACCCCATGTCAGATATGAAATATATCCTGCAGTTCAGTCTTATGCATCGTTCCCCCTTTGGTAGGCTACTGGGTGGCTAAGAGAAGAGAAAAGGCTAAATAAAATAAATGATGGAGAAAAAGTAAGTGCAACCTTGTGGTGTATTCCAGGGAAGGTGTATTGTAATCTACTTAGCAAATATTCCTGCTCTGTATAATGGAAAGCCACATCCCTGAGAGGGTAAATGGCTCTCTTTTGAGGGTGAATATGGCTAAGAATGGATAATTCAGAGCTTCAGATACCTGCTTCCATGCTGGGACTCCCTAAGTATGGCTCTGCTGACAGAAAGGTATTCAACAGTCTAATCTGTTTGGGCCCACTGTTGGTAGCACTTCTGAATGAATGAAGCAGTGGGAAAACTATGCTTACTTTATCCAAAGTGGTCTTGCTGTGGAAACTGTTCATGGCTGGAAAATTCCTGGTCCATCCAGGTTATCCCAATTATATGGGAAAAAAATGAAAAAATTATTTTACTTGTTTTAGTTCTCAGGTTGTAAGAGACTTGCTTCTTCAGCGCTGGCCTGTTTGTGGAATGGCTCGCAGAGAGCGGGAAGGGCTGGGTAGAGGACGTCTGCTCACTGTGTGAAACAGGGCAAGGTACACAAAGCGAGCACTATTTTTGCTAGAAGGACTGAAAGCCATAAAACCGTTATCTTGACAATGCTGCTTTCTACTAAAGTGGAGTTCAAGGACTGCTTGGAGTCCAATTTAAAACAGTTGTCTGAAAATGGCTTTCCAGACATGAACCTTTGCTTATATGCCAAGGCTCACAGGCACCATGGCTAAAAAGGAACATTGTGATAATCCTTTTTGACCTCCTGAATAACACAGATCATAAAATTTCATGCCGTAGTTTCTGTGCGTAGGCCAGAAGCTTGCGGTTGAATGTTACCTGGAATGGATTTCAGTGCTTGAACTTGACAAGTGTTGCAGGACCGAGTGAATTTCCTTGAATAAGCTGGGCCCAAGCAGCCTGAAAGTCAGCAACGTGTTGTCATCTGACCTGTGAATTTCTTAAAGTAGTTGTAATGGGGAAAAATGAGCATTGCTGTTTAGGATTCGTGTGTTTGTGGAGAAGAGAGGTAATTTTTATAAATATTATTTCCTTTAAATGTGAAAGGCTTTAGAGTAGCTAAGATGACATCCTTGCCGAGCCATTTCTTTTAGAGTGACTTATGGCTGTTTAGACAGATTTTAGCTCTTTGTATACACTATGGCTTATCAAAGTGTGCGCTGCTGTTATGGGCACGCCCAGCTTGCAGAATGCAGGAGATACCTCATCTTCATTTATTTTGGGGCCTGAGAACACTGGAACCGGGGCCTGATGCGAAACTGGTTGCTGTAATTACAAAACATAAGTAATTACCAGTCTCTTAACCTTTCCTGCCTTCAGCTGTGCTAAGGGCAATGAATGGAAAGTAATTACCATTTGGAGTATTCACGCAGTCCCCAGTTAGGCATTTAATTTTCTTCTGTGGTGACTGGGACTTCAGAAAGCATCTTTAGGCCACTCGTGGTATTCTAGGTAGGCAGGTCTTGCTTGGGGTCTG